AAAAACTCAAGGCTTTAAATAACGAACTCTCTGAAGAGGACAGTGAACGCAACACCGTGGCACATCTGTAGAGCTGCTGACGGCAGATTGCTCGGCTAATTAACCAGCTACTATCCGACAATTAGAACTTAATGAAGAGCAGGACAGTAAAACATTCTGTGCAGAAAGAACCGAAACACTAAAAATAAAATTGATTTCTGTAAATTATCTGAACCTGTGAAAACAGATGGACCAAGCAACATTTCTCTGGTCCACTTTCCCTGTAGGGCCGACCCAACAATTCAGTTTTTATTCTATGCCTTATAAGACAGAACAACATTGTGACAAAGTGGTTCAGTTTGTGTTTACCACTTGTACCTTATTCTTTCTTCTGATTTGTAATGCTTAAATTTAAACATTAGTTTAAACTTTGCTTCACTTACTATCCTGGGTTTGTTTGTGTTAGCATTATGCTGTAGTTTCCATCTATTTATGTTTAGGTTAAAGCTATTACTTCTGGATTATTGGATGAAATTGTTTATTATGTTTCAAAGTATATTCATGGTAGTTGTTTTTACTCACCATTGTTTGTTTAAGTATTTCCTACTAAATTGACCTGATGATGTCATCCATTACCTTGCTGGGTTGTACCATTTAGAGGGTTTCCTTTGGGGTTAGGCTTTGTTTGTTTTTCTTTAAAGTAACTTTTTGAGTTATCTTGTATCACATTGTTTATTTTGCAGACTCTTTCTATATGTAGATGAGTTTGTAAATTAGATTAATTTTATTCTTGTTTCTCTGTTTAGACTTTGTTTGTCAGAGTGAAATGCTGAATAAAAGGCAACAGAGAAACTGGAACCGGTGGCTGAAGCAGTTTTTTTTTTTTGGTTCACCTTATTGATCCACGACCAAACTACCTCAAAAACATGTCAACTATTTTCTTTGATAGATGTTTAGTTTTGATAAAATATAAAGAAAACAAAGGAGGTAGAGGATGAGGATAATCTAAACCTTAACTGCGATTCAACTTTTAGACAACAAAATAGAGAACAGAGTGAGAAACTATCTTTTCCAAGAACATGATTGATGTGTTTCTAAGCAGAAGACAATGGGAATAGCAGGTTTTGAGGCCTTCAACAAAACTTTGGGCAAACCCAAAAAAATATCCGTCCACATGTTCAATAGTTTCACCATCAGTAGGAAAACTGTTTCTATAAAATCCCCTACAAACACTGTAAAATGATGAAGCAAAGTAAAATCCAGCAGTTTTCTGATCTTGGTTTCCCCCTTCCACGCCCTCATGTTGAGTCCAGCACATGTGGGCCCACACAGCGAGCCTAGCAGAGGTTATCTCTGCACTAACTAGGTGTTGTCACACACTCCCGCACACTCCGGTGGAGCCGGGCACGAGTAGATCGGGGCTCTGCACGCTCTAACTAGGTGTAAATACAATAACAAGCCTGTAATTAAGTGAGCATGATGAAGTTAATGGAGATCGGCCATTCTGTCGGCCGCCTCCATGAATATTCTATTAGGCTGGTGGCGACGGGCAGCTGGAATAGCAGTTAATTTAATCACTACTCGGAGCACGGGGAAACTTCTTTGTGTGAGTGTAATTGCACAGAATGAATAATTGATTTGACAATCGCACCCGTGGATTTTGCCACCCCGCTTTGTATCAGCGGAGGGAAAAAAAAGGGGAGGGGGAGCGTGGAAGATGGAGAAGGGAAGAAAATAGGAGAAGAGGAGAGAAAAGACAGAGCAGGAAGAAAAGGGAGGAGGAGCGAACGTGGAGCACCCGTAAGGTGGCAGGGAAGCTGGATCATTAGAAAGGCGCAGCTCAAGGACAATTTTTATTTTATCAATGCGGTGAAATTACATTATTGCTCACACACGCAATCATACTGCCCACACTCAGGACTGAGACCTAGGGGAAAGGATGGAGAGGGTGGGGGGAGTAGGATGAGGAAAAAGGAAGTAGAGGGAAGGAGATACAAAATGATTTGAAAGTCATTGATATGGGATGTTCCCAGCTAAAGAACGGACGGCGTTGGGGTTTCTCCTCTCTCTATCTCACTGTGTGCGCGCGCCCCTCTTTTTGTAATCTATTAGAGATCTCCCGTGGCGGGTGAAATTACCTCCATGTTTTACTCAGTCGCAGCAATCAGGCACAAAAACGCAATGTACATGTAGATAAGACGGCCTTGCAGAACGCATGCACGCGAACACTGCAGAGAACACAGCGCAAAATTACAATCTGCGTTGAGTCAGAGCTCCTTTGTGTCTCACACACAGCCTGTGCAATTTTCCATTAATGTCTTTTATTATATACGTTCAATGCACAGTTGAAAACATACACCGAGCCTGCATCATGGCTACCTGCAGTGGAAAATCCCAGATATTGTCTAAAGTGACGGGTACAGTCATGATACACATTTACTTTGAGCTAACAGCAGAACATAAATGCCGCAGCTTTCTTTCAGATCAATCCTCTGAAAACACCAAAACCGGCAACTCTTAAGTAATTCCTCCGACATGTAAATATAGGCATCTAGCGTGTGGCCAGTGTGGAGAGTGACAGATTGAGAGCAGGTAGAAATACTGAGCTCTTTTACCAGCCAGCTAGCAGTTTCCAGTGTTGATCAGAGTCGCCGTGCTCCGACAGCAGGGCCTCATGTTGGTAATCACCCCTCTGTCATTCCCCACCTCTGGAGCGTCCGCCCAAACCGGCGTTAAACCAACAGTCGCAGGAGAATATAGAGTAATAACAGAGGGAAGGATGAGCCGTCTCCAGCCCGGCGAGAATGTTAAAACAAAGAGAAACGTCTACTGTTCAATTGTCAATTCTGATCTAAACAATAGAGTCAATGGGTGTAATGGAAGCGGATTATATGTATTTTCAGCCCCAAAGTTAGCCTCCAGGGGAGTATTTGTCACAAATCTAGTTCCCACATAGTTCCTCCAGCCAACTGAGTCAATCTATAGGAGTTTACCTAAATCATCCATAGAGAGATTAACTATTACTCCTGAAGTGAGGTGTGTAGAAGTGTAATCTGAGCGACGAGGCGCCTTGGTGTGTAATGCAGTAATGTGGGGTATTACTTCCCCAGGACGGAGGGATTACACCTTCAATCTATGTTTTAAAGCAGCGTGACACCATCTATAGGGGTGGCTTTCTCCATATTGTGTGGGAAATAAAACCACCTAGTTTGTAAGTGAGATTAGAGGACTGACCGTTTTGGTTTTCCACTTATTAAACATTGTATTTTGTAGTTTTGTGCTATTTAGCAGAGTTTAAAGGTAGGATGCAGTTGCTGAAGCGGACCAAACCCCCTATTCTAGCTAAACCTATTGTCTACTAAAAGAAAAACAATGCCAAAAGGAAGTATTACACTATTTAAGGATTTAATCCAATTTTTCTTTTTATCACATAAAAAAAACTAAATTATCAAACTAAAATAAACTGAATATGAGGGTTTTACAAATGTTTTCAGAAAAAAACCTGAATGACCAGCACCGGATGGGCTATAGCAGCCTGAATGAATAACTGACATCCTTAATAGCTTCTTAACCCTGTTGTTCTTCCTCTGATTTGATTTTAAAAACCTCACAGATTATGGAAACAGATTTGTTTGAGTTCTTATCGCTGTAACTGCTTCCTCACTGAAGAGTGAGTTCGTTTAGTCTGGTAGGGTGCAGGAATTGTTTGTTTCTAGATTGATTTTCTCACTGCACCTCAATTAAAATGATCATTTTTTCTATTTATTTCCTGTAGAAGCTCTCAGGCTTTTACTGATTAAGATCCAAGAAACTGCTTCACAACCATGAATCAGTAATGTTCCCTATGTAGCCCAAAACAACAGAAATGTACTGTATAGGTCTGTGATCCACATACAGAAAAAAAAAAAAAAAAAAAAAAAGGCAGGAAGTGCCCACAAATCACCGGCACAATAGAACCTAAAGAAAAGAGGAAAGTCGAGGAATTGATTGGTGATGATTTCTTGCATCTGGGCCTAGACGGAAATAAAAGAAAGCAAAAAATGGAGGCTATAATCATGTTAGCACCCCCCAACCTCCCCTCTTTTTCTACACTGGCCCAATCCCTCTATTTCAGCTCGCTCCATTTTCTGAGTGGTCATCTGTTGATTACACGTTATATTTAAGTCTGCCGTCTGGCTCCTTTGCTGCCTCGCTTTGGCCTGAGCTCACCGCACTCACGGGACTCAGGCATACATACATAAATAACATACATACATAAATATTTAATCAAATAAATAAATCACTCGGCCCGGCGGCCCTTTCTAATCAAGTGACATCAATCAGGGAGAACTGTGGGTAAAGAGGCCTTGCGGCTGACGCCTACTGAGTGCACCCGGATCGTTGGAGTAGCGTCTATTTGAGTCCAAGGGGGGAAATATACGCTCCATGTCCCATTACAGGAGAAGGGCTATCCTTTCGTCAGCGCGCCCATTACTCGCCCTATCATTTCCCCAAATCTAAAACCTGTTTTCAATCAACACAGCCAAACGAGTGCCTGTCCAAGAGAGGCAGAGAGAGAGAGACAAGAAAGAGAGAGGGAGCACCGCAGAGAAAGGAGCAGAGATGGACAGTGAGGGTAGAGGGAGAGAGATGGAGGGCTCTCTCCTTCTTTCTTCCAGTGATTGGAGCGTTTTGCATTCTGTATGTGTGTGTGATTGAATCCGTCTCCTAAATTAGGGCTGTCGACTCGAGGAGCTGAATGTCCTTAACCCCCCCTCCCCATAACCAATGCCTGGCTGCCGCCGCTGGCGAGTGTGTGTGTGTCACATCACTGGTGAATATTTTAAGTGCAGCCTGGCTAAAAGGTTTATGTTGAGACTTTGATTGCTAATGCTATGTTGTACGTGTGAGAAAGCATTGTTAACTTATTAAAATTCAAAGTTTCTCAGCGCCTCGGCTAACTTGATTTCCACTCCAAAGCCAGTAAAGAGGAACAGGAACAAAGACAGCCCAAAAAGCAAGCAGGGATTGTTTTACGTTAAGTAATAAAGCTGGGATCAGAGTGATAAAGTAGCTGATGTGCGTAAAATCTTACCTCTCTCGTCAGACTGTAGAACCTTGGCCATGGCGTAGTCCCAGTCAAAGATGTATCTGTAGAAGCAGAGCTGGTTGTACAGAGCCTTCTCCGAGTACTGCAAAGAGAAAACCAACATTGTTAAAATAACACTGGCCAAAACAATTGCAGCACCTCAATAAACCTGAACATCTACCTTCTAAGTTTAATATTTTGTTTTCATTTAGAATATTGAATCAAAAAAGCAAAAATTTGCTGCTTCTTTCAACTTTTGGATGCTTCCCCCCCACTTTTTAATGTCTACCCTTTTCCAATCTCTTGTTAAACTGCAGATTTTTCCATTCTCACATCTTATTTAACCATTTTTGTTCCCTCCCAGCTGCCACTTCTTCTGACCAGCTGTGTTACCTAAATGATGAATTGTTTAAAAATGGCTTAAATGAGGGCTAGCATGTTTGCACATATGGTTCCCTCCAAAAAACAAATAAATAACATCCATAAACTGGCCATGATGGTGACTACAAAACATTAGCCAATCTACTTTGCCTACTGACTAAAGCACATTGGCTACTTGTTTGTCAAACATTTTGCATACGTGCCCCTAGTATCTTATTTACGTAGGCTCTAAGCGTAATTCATACGAGGTTTGACTAGCACGCCCCCATTACACCAAAGCTTGTTTGCTGCTGCAGCTTTTTTTGTTGTTGCTTTTACATAAACTTCTGCTGCAAAGGTAAATTATGTTCAATTTTGTGGTTTTAGTAGCAGCAGCAGCGAGAGGACAGCAACTAATTTTAAATATAACTTGCAGTGATAACGCCGGCAGAGACGTCTTTATCTTATGGAGATTTCCTGCTGACTCGGTGAATACTGGCACTTTTCGTAATACAAAATTACTTCTGGCATAGAGATCTTTAGCGAAGGAGGGGGCACTGATGCATGCACATGATTCAAAAATACACAAACAGCCGTCGGACATATCTTCCACCAAAGAATCGTCTTTCCTGCCTTTAACTTATGAAGGTCCAATGAAAGTTAAACTGCATGTTTTCCTGTCTCTCCTCATTTGTGTTATATTTGTACACAAGGCAAACAGGAGGTCATGGATACTACGTAAATTTGGATTAAAAAATGTAAAACATAAATTTGAAATAAGCTCAGTTATACTTATTTTATAGGAATTAGTAGGGATGCCACTAAATGTGGCAGCAAAATACACAGTACTTCTCTCTCTCTCACGTGGGCATTGTTAGTTTAACGATACCTTCCGCGAGTCTTCTCAAAATTTGAAATAATTGTTGACTGCAGATGTGTCTCATAGTTCCCATTGATTTGGCTTGTAAAGCAGGGAGAATGGCGCTAGGCTTACCGTACCGTGACGTCACTTCTGCAAGATGTCAGGAGTGGGGTGTTACTATATTCGGGCAAAAATGGACGGTCCTGGACTCAGTGATCTCAACAAAAAAATATATATTTTTTAATTGATTAACATAGAACGTATCAGCTTTAGGTATAGATAATACTTTTCCTTTCAGTCTACTTTGAGTTTGAACTTCTGTATCTGGGTGTTGCAGACAATGCGCCAATTAGCCCTGATGCATTCACTGACTGGAAACACGATTGGAATTTTAGTTTTAACTGACCATGGAGGGATGGCCAAGACTAAAATAATGAATCATTGCTATTTGGTTTCCTGTTGCTGCACTGAAAAAAAGACAAAAGTTGGAAAAACACTAGCTAAGATGTAATTTATGTCAAGGTTACAGCACACAAACCTAAATCAAAATAAAGTAAGCTTAGAAAGCAAAAACAATTAAAATGTTGAGACAAAATTCTGAATCCAACAAAACTGAGTCACTAGTTTTTTAAATGACAATGTAAGAACCTTGAAAGGCAAAAGACAGATACTTTAATACGCTTCAAGTGATCGAGTATAAGACTTGGAACAAAACGATAAACAAGTGGATCCTACACTGAATAAGACAACAGAGATTCATTAATCTGAATTTCCTGGTTGCTGCTTAGACAACCAATCCTCTCATCATATAAAACAACTTTATGATAAAATTCAAAATGTTTTGATATGTTAAACACTAATTAAGCAGAGTTATCTCACTAGCAATGATCTTTCATTCTATTTATTAGTTTCAGGCAGTTAAAAGTGGATTCAAGATCATGACAGGACTAAAAAAAAGCATGAAGAATAAATAATAGATGTGTTTGCAAGATTCTGTAAGGGCACATCCCGCCCAAATGACTAACCCTCCCTGCTAACATCCCCCTTCCTCTGTGTGACACAGTAAAGCTAGAAAACAAATTTGCTTGCTTTGTTAATTTCCACTGCAATTAAGCAGAGCCACATGACAGCCTGCCAAAGGGAGAGAGAGGGAAAGAGACGGAGAGGATGAGCTAGACATAGCAGTGGGAGGGAAACAGAGAAGAGCGGGAGAGGAGAGAGAGAAAGGCCTGAGAGACAGCAAAAACAGAAGTGAAGAGGGGAGAGAGAGGAAGAAGAGAGGGGATCAGACCTGATACACCCTCCCTCATAATAGTTTGTTGTGATAAGCCATTGTGAGAGAGGCATGCGAACAGCCGAGGCTGTCAATTTGATTAGCCATTATACTGGATGTTTAATTGCAGTTATTGGCTCGTCATTTCCCAGCTACACTGCAGAGGGCACGCTAAGCCTCGACCCCACACTGCCATCAGGTGTGCGCCGAGTGCTTCATTATTACCACCAGGAAGAATCCCCTGACAATTCCTGCACGCCGAGCCGGTTTGTGTGTTAGCCCATTATACCTGCCAATCGGCAACACGCATAATTGTAATTTCAGTTTTCACTGCTGTGGCATAATCAAGTGGTGAGAGTATCTAATGCAGCTAAATGCAAACTATGTGTGAAAGTGAGAGAGGGTGTGTGTGTGAGAGTGTGCGTGTTTAATGGCTTTCTATCGCTGCCCACATGGCACGCACAGCTGTTGACCGTTGATGCACTGCCTAGTCAACAACCAAACCATGCACATCCCATAATGGAGCCTCGGTTACGGTTGCCAAGGTTGAACGAGCTCAGTCGGCACAAGCACCGAGCGCCACCTCTTCCTCTTGAAACATAAAACACTCACACACACACACACACAGAAGCTAGCATTGGAACAATACACTGCTGATTGTGGGCGGGTCCTTCGCTGCATACTGATTGACTGACAGGTGTCAGAGAGGTGTGGCTAAAATGTAACAGGATTGTTATTGAATTTAGAGCCCCGCAACCCCACCTCACTCTGCTCCACACACACACCGACACACACACACCTCTACCTCGTCATTCAGCTCGGCGCTTTGTTCCCGCACTGACACCATTTCAATTTGCTCCACAAATCTGCAGCATTTTCAGCCTGACTGCCTAAGGAGCAAACCAGCTGTGAAATTGCCTCTCTCTTGGGAGTGTCGGAACCCCCCCCCCCACACTTTGCACCCCTTTGCTCCTTTGCCTTTAGCATCTCTGTCTCGCTCACCCCCTCGCCCCCTCCAACCTAAATACACAGGTACACATCCTTACCCTGTGTAAGGACTCAAAAACACAGACAAATAAGAGAAGGAAGCAGAAGGCGTAGGATGTAAAGCATGCAAAAAAGGTAAGAAACACAAAAAAAACGGCTTTAAATCAAGTAGATTAAATAACATTGATGAAATGGCTTCTACCACGCTAAGAAAAACAAAAAACAGCCATTCCTACATGGTCCAATTACCAAAATAAACTATACCTATATAAGTTTTAAAATGTACACTTAAAAAAAAGCTAAAATATTGCCTCTTACTTGTTGCTGTACATTTCCAGCTATCTAGCTAAAAAATAAAGTTACTTCATATTTTCCCATGTTTACAAGAAAGAACGAATTAGGCTGTTTAGGAATATTTCTGAGAACATAAAACAGAGAAATGAAACGCTGTTTGGGATTAATGAAAGAGGCCTTCCTAGTCTTCTCTCTCATAAAGACAAATACAAACCCGGCTGTTTGGAAATAACACAGGCAGGCGTAGCGTGGAGACTGAAGACCTACGTAGCCCTGTTATTATGCTAAAACAGCTTAAAAAGTCTAGTTGGTGAGCTAGCAACAAGTTTGCTAAGCAGCCAACGGCTGACTGTATCCAAACAGATAAAACCCACAAATTAACCAGCTAAAAACAGCCTGTTAGACTCCTGACATAAAGAGCAGAGCCTCAAAATAACTCTGGACAACAATGCCCACCATACCGGCAGCAACAGCTAGCATGCTGCTCCATCCATTTCCCCACACTGCTTCTTTTGATCTATTCTAACACCCACACTTTGAATAGGACTCCGCTTTGGTTTATTAATTTAATTTAATATCTGAATATGATCTGTATTGGGAACCCCTGCAATAAACAAGCTTATAGGGGGAAAACCTTACTAAAAGTCAGAAGTATAAGCTGAAGTATGAAATCTTAAAGTAAGCCCAATGAATGCAGCAATAGAATAGAAAATCCCTTTATTGTCCCACAATTGGGTAATTCTAGTGTTTACAACCGCAAAAATAGTTTAGAAAAAGTTGTCACACAAATGTGGACTTTAGAAATATATAAATACTAGTGAAGAGTTAAAAGATAAACAACAAAATACTGTGTAAAGTGTTTTAAGAATATAAAACTGTCCACCTGGAGAATAAATTAACCATTATACAGCTATGGACATTTCAATTTAGCAGCAACATCAGAGATGTGCAAAATGACAGCAGCATGTTATTTAACTGATTAAGATAGAAATTGTACAAAATCAGCATGAATCTATCAACTTATTGAGGTTGTTGGGAACAGTGGTGATTTTAGAGTCTTCCAGCTGCTGGGAGGAAGGATCTGTGATAACGCTCATTGGTGTATTTAGGGTGCAGCAGTCTGTCACTGAAGGAGCTCTCCAGTTCTGCAACAGCTTCATGCGTGGGGTGGGAAACATCCAACAGAGATGTTAATTTAGTTATGATCCTTTTGTTTCCAACCTCCTGCACTGAGTCCAGGGGGTATCCAATCACAGAGCTGGCCTTCCCGATCAGCTTATCCGGCTGCTTACTCACTCTCTTAGAATCTTATACAGATTCACGCCTG